AAATTCCTGCCTTTTTAAGGCTGAACAATATTTCATTGTATGTATATTTTGTTTATCCATCTGTGGCACTTGGGTCACTTCCATCTTTTGGCTGTTGTGAGTAATGCTGCTGTCAACATATCCTCTGTTCTGTCATCTATACCCTCATCTGCTCCCAACCCACACTGGATTATTAATATTACTCAGAGGAACTTTATTGTGTTCATCTTTATATTCTCCTAACATAGAGCCTGGCACATAGTAGGTGTTTCTTAAATGTTTGGATGGATGAATTTGGCTTTTTTTAAATTTATTTTAAACAAGACCCTCAAAGAGAGAACACCTTTTTTTCCTTAGACTCAGAATACTAGTAAGTCGCATAAAATCTTGATAAAAATTAAATTTATGGGAGAAAATAAGAATTTAATACCTTATATGGATCAGCAGAACAAGAAAAGTGCTGAAGAATCTGACGGGAGATTTTATTTTTATGCCAGTAGCTACAATGCTGTGGGTAAAATCCATTTATTTCTGGAAACATCAAAAAAATGTTTGGAATTGCCAACTTCACCTGTTAACAGTGCCCTAGTGCCCATATGGGTGATGGCAGCATCTGGGCTTCAGAGGGCACTAGGCCACTGTTAACAGGGAAGTTGGCAATTCCAAAGATTTTTTGATGTTCCCAGAAACTATAAGATTGACTCATTAATAATGGGATTTTCTACTGTCTCATATGTCAAGAGGGTGATCTGAGAGTAAACTTAGCATTCTGTGACCGACAAAGTTCCTGATAGGGTTAAGCAGCTGTGTTTGACTGACTGTCCTGGGGGGTCATACATGGAAAACTCTAATTCCATCTAAGTTTGATTGCTCTCACCTGGCTTCCCTGGATTAATGTCACTATCAGCCAGGAGCCCCAGCTCCTAGAGTGTCGCCTAAGGAGACAAAAAGTTTAATCAGCCTAACAGGAGAACTTGATCCACACTTCTTACAAAGGAGGGAATTAGCAAGACACCTTGCCTTTCTCCCACTGCAGAAAGAGGGCTGCGGATGGGGGTGGGAGGACTCAATTCAGCTGCCGGAAGCAGCTGAACAAGCTGGTGGGAGGGACTTGGCATCCTCGGGGCCTGTGGCAGTGAGATCCTTCACACCTGCTCACCTGCTCCCAGGAGCTGCTTGTCTCTGAGTGGCTGGTGCTTTGAGGGTTCAGCAGGAGAACCTGAGGGGTTCCACCTTTGAGAAGACCTCTCCTGCTCTCCAGCAGGTGCCCGAGTGCAAACAGTTGGAACTAAGGTCAGAGAAGTGGGCTATATGGGTGATGGCAGCACCTGGGCTTCAGAAGCCACTAGGGCACAAAGCCCGATTTCTGCCATTTACAGGATATGTGATCTTGGGGCAAGTTGCCTTGCCTCAGTTATTCTGTAAGGATTAGGTGAAATGTTAATAATTGTCACTTTCTTAAGCAGGAACTCTAGCCCTAGCTGGTTTGGCTCCGTGGATAGAGCATCGGCCTGTGAACTGAGGGGTCTCTGGTTCGATTCTGGTCAAGGGCACATGCCTAGGTTGTGAGCTTGATTCCCAGTAGCAAGTGTGCAGGAGGCAGCCAATCAATGATTCTCATCACTGATGTTTCTATCTCTCGCTCTCCCTTCCTCTCTGAAATAAAAAACAATATGTCGGGGGAGGGGGGTGGAATAGAAGGTTAACTTCAGGGGAAAGAGCCCTCTGTGCCTGTTGCCAGGCAGACCTTTATGCAGGACCCTGGTGCAGTGTCCCTGCCTCTCAGCAGGATTAGGACAGCGCCCTCCATGGGTGGAGCATGCCCCCCCAATTCCTCTTCACCCTTCCAGGCTCCACTATCTGTGCCCACAGTCACATTTCCTGCCCTGCTGCCCTGGGAGGATTAGCCTTTCCCCCTTCTGACTCCTGTGGACCTGTCATGCCTCCACACACACCCCAAGAGCACTATTCTGGGTGCTAGTATTTATCTCCACATCAATTGACACCGGTAATGCTGTTCTTCAGGTGCTTTGCAGAAAAAGCCCCCAGTGTCACATTTCCCCCGAATCTTTCCCACTGTGCCCATGTCCTTTGGTCTGTTGTTAAGACGCAGATATCTGATCCAGGGAAGTGTCACCTCCAGTAAGAAGACAACAGGCCCAAAATGTTTGTGTCCCCCTAGGGATGAGATTCTTGTTCTCCTGTAGCTAAATCCTGCCTCGGGCTAACCTCACCTACAGATCCAGCTGCGAACTCTTGCATTTATTGATCCCTCAGTAGACTCCTCCTTCCTAGCAATGCTGAGCCCAAACTGTGAATGCTAACAACTCAACAAGCATTTCCCCGAGCAGCTCTCAACTCCCTGGACACAGTTGTCATCCATCTGGCATTGTGCTTTGAGTCCTTTTTACGTGTCCGGCGAGTGGTGGCTCTGCCTCACAGAGACCGCAGGGCTCCTGTGATGGGAACCAAAGTCAAGCTCATTCTGTGGTTCTTTAATCCTGTCCCTGGGCTTCCAACGGGGGCGGGGCCCTGCACTGTCCCCAGGGCGTGTAGAGATGAATCCAGCAGGGCCTATGCCCTCTCCAGCTCCTGGTCCCAGGGGATGCTGGTGCAGATTACCCAGCCCCCAGGGGTGCACGAGGCACTGTGGGAGCACCAAGCAGGGGTGAGTGGCTGTGGCAAAAAGACCTGGACTTATGAGAAGGTTAGTCCATGTGGAAGGAATAAAACTGGAAAAAGCAAGGAAGCAAGTGGGAAAGGACAAGACCTGTGATTAGGAGGTGCGTTTGGAGCATAAGGTATTTGGGGGGCTGCGGAAAGGGACACAGAAGGACTCTGGAAAGTAAGTGAGGGTCTGCTCAGAAAAGGTTTGCCCAGCTAAGGAGCTAAGACTTTCCTTTCCTCTCCCACCAGGACCCATGTATGTGACACAAGTGTCACCAGATGTACAATGTTCAGCAAAGCAGGTACCCTTCCTGCACACGTATAGCCTAAGTGGAAGAAGCTGATATTAATCAAACGATCGAATGTAACGTCTCTGCAAAATTCTTGACTAGGACAGTGACACGACCACAATCTGCATTTTAAAGTCACTTCTGCCTGAAGAATCAGAGGCACTGGGAGGAATGACACAGGCAAGGGGCATGGAGTTAAACCTCCGCAGCTCAGTGCCAGTAATAGGATGGAGAGCAGGGACAAATCTGAGAGATTTCACTGGTAAATGGGAAGGAATAGGAAGTCTGATAGGTCTACTGTGGGTAGGTATGGATAATGATGGAAGGAAGGAAAGAAGGGAGGGAGGGAAGGAGGGAGAGAGGGAGGGAGGGAGGGAGGGAGGGAGGGAGGGGAAAGAAAGAGAGAAAGAGAGAGAAAGAAAGGTAGATAGATTTGGGGAGCAATCCAAATGGAGTAATAATTAGGGGGTTGGGCCATTTTGAGTTTAAAGTGCTAGTGGGCCATCCAGGTGGGAATGGTGACATAGCTTTGGAACTCAAAAAGATGTCAGAACTGATGGTATTTATTAGGAGTCTTTTAGCGTGTGAGCTCCACGGTGCTGATGGAGATCACCTAGAGAGAGAAGTCATTGCCCTGCTCCGGTCCCAATGGTGAGAAGCAGAACCTCAAGCCACAGTGCACAGTCCCCTTCCACGGGGCTAGCTAGTTATCAGCGCCTGATTCCTCACAAGGAAGGTGTAAAGCCGCACTAGTAATAAATTGTATGAAAACTCTGTCTTCCCCTGAGGAATTGATAGGCTTTTTTCTCATAGGCAATGTAAGATTTGCATTGTTTCCCTTTTTGCTTCAACAACCAGGAAGCTCAGAGCTGATTTTATAACTTAATTTTAGAAATCGTATACTCTTTTCTCAAATAATTACATTTTATATATTTGTCTTTTCCAACTCTGCTTTTTTTTTCTTTGTTTTGTGTGCTCATGTAAACTGCTTCATATCCTTTGTAAAATTAGGGGTGTAATTGTTAAAAATAAATATTCCCCTCACCCTACCTTTTTTGGGCCATCCTTGCAGCCCTTGTGCAACACGTCTGCCCAGTTACTGAGCTAATATTGGCTGGATTGAAGCAGGAGGAACTCTTGGAATTTATAACAGCTAGACAGTAAATTTAACACTTAGGTAACTCATTAAAACAGGATAAAAGTGGAGCTTCAAACATCTCTGTATTTGCCACCAAGTCTGTGAAGCGAGGGGTACCTTTAAGTCAGTTCAAGATATAAAAGTCTGATCTTTCAGAATTAAGAATACCCCGTTAAAACTAGAACCTTCTCTGTGTGAGTGAGCACTCCGATCCTTCAAAGGAGGACTGGGGTGTTGACTACAAGATGGGATGTTTGTGAAGCTTAGTGTGTCATTTTCTTGACTCATAAAATGTAGTTTGGTAAAAGCAAACTTCCTTATCAAACAGCATATGCACAAAATTGACTGGATGGTACATTTTCTTTTTAATCATCCCTGCTTTTCATAGAAATAATTATTTTTAAATGATCATTTGCTGTTGGTTAAGATCACTGGGCAAATGGTTTTCAAAGCGTGTTCCACAACTGATGCCTTGGGGACTGTAAGGTGCAGGGAGTGGGGGGATGGGGTGAGGAGGGGAGACCTCCAAGCCAGGAGAGCCCAACCAGCGCCAGAGCAGCAGGCTGTTTTATATAGCAGGGCTCCTTCTGCTTCAGGCACTGTCTGAAGAAGGTCCGGCTTCTAAAAGTGAAAAGTTTGGAAATCACCGCATTGAGGGTCCATCTACTGACTTGCTGTTGGGATATGCAAGGGGTGGGGGTGGAGGTGGAACCGCCTACCAGCTCTGTGACTTTGGGCAATGATTTCCTCCCTGACACAGTCTTCTCATCCAGAGATGAGAATGCCATCAATGATAACAGCCACTTCACCAAGAAGATGAGGATCTAATTACTCTAATTAGCAGATGTAGAAACACCGCCCAGCCGAGTTTAAGAGCTGACCCCACACCCGCTTCCTCTAACCATGCTCTCCCCTTCATTTCCCAGGGCGAGCCAATCACCTTCTGTGAGGAGGACTTCGTGTCCCACTATCGCTCTGGAGCCATGAGGCAGTTCCTGCAGAATGCCACCCAGCTGCAGCTCTTCAAGCAGGTGCCTGGCCTCCCTAGCTTGGCCTGCGTCTGGATTCCTGGAGGGACAGGGCGGGGTGGGAGGGTTGGGAGGGACGGGTTCTGCAGCTGTCCTCACTGAGCACTGAGGCTGCAGGCATGTGCGGGACTCCCACAGCTAAAGAGGGTCTGGGGACAGGGACTGGGTGAGGATGGGGCTCAGCAGCAGGCAGGCCCTGGCAGAGAGCCATGCAGTTTTCCAGGTTATCAGAGCCCACAGCCAGAGTTTGGAAACTCGCTTCTTTGAACTGCACAGTTCCTAAGGTCCTTCCTGTCTTGGCTGGTGGCGGTTCCTTGGCCATGCACTGGGTGCCCGCTGAGAGCTGCTGCTCCCAGTTCCCGTGTGCACAGTTCTGTTCTTTCTTTCTTTCTTAGTTTATCGATGGTAGATTAGACCTTCTCAATTCCGGCGAAGGTTTCAGTGATGTTTTTGAAGAGGAGATCAACATGGGCGAATATGCTGGTGAGGAGTGTTTTATTTTCTTCCTGTTCTGCGGGCTGAGCGTGGGAGTGGGGCGTGTTCGGCAAGGAGTGGCAGTGACTTCTTGTTTCCGTCCCTGGGGGTTATGGAGGAACTGATTTCCACCCTGGCCTCGAAGTGCTTGAGAAGTTGCTCTTCGCTTCTGATGAGGTGCACATTGGCCCTTCTGCGGTCTTCCGTGCCAGGGCCAGCATGGTGCCATGGAAAACACATGAGGTTCCGCGTTAGGAGACCTAGATTCAGATCAGGACTCTTCCCCTTACTGCGGCAGTAACCTGGCCGAGTCATGTCGCCTCTTTCAGCTGAATGTTTCCATCTCTGCGCTGGGAGTGACCGTGCCTGCCTCACAGGACTCCTGGTACAACTAAATCAGAGTCCACGAGGGAAGCTTTGTGCAGTCCCCGGGACAGGCCACGGCACAGGACCCGCTCAGCCAGTGTTCCTATAAAGTGCGAAAATCATCGCGGGGCCTGGCTCTGCATGCCTTTAGAACGGAGGGCTCGTCCTCTCCTGTCTCGGAGGGGACCTCTAACGCCCAGTGGCCAGGCCCCAAGGGGTGTTCCTGGCTGACCCTGCCTCCTGAAACCCCGTCTGGCATGTTTTCCAAGTCCCAAGCCTCTGTCTTTGGCAGCAGAGTAGAAACTAAAAGCAAATGATAATAATCATGTTCCTGGCCTCCTCTAATTGCTGGGCACATGTCTGGTCTGGACTATGCTGATCATCCAGCTGGCCATCCTAAACTCAGAGTCAGCAGCGAGCCACTGCTTCCTTCAGGGAGTGGGGCCTGGGAGCCTGCATGTTCTCCATATTTCCCAGGCCTGCATAGTGAAAGCATTTGGGGAAACTCCTGAGCGCACATCACCGCCTTAAATGACAGCTCTCTGACTCCTCTTTCCCCAGGCAGCGACAGACTGTACCACCAGTGGCTCTCCACGGTCAGGGTAAGTGTGCTCCCCTCCCAGCCACCTGGGCCCTCCCTCAGCCTCCTGGCAGCCCAGTTCTTCCCGCCACCCAGGAGGCTGTCATTCGGCCTGGGGCACTCCATTCTGTCAGCTGTAGAAGCTTTTGTTTGTAAAGCCAGGTGGAGCTGGCAGTCTCATCCTGCCCAAAGTCATCCTGGTGAGGAGAGCCAGGAGAAGCCTTCAGCCCAGGATGCCAGCCAAGGCGTGTCATGTGGATGTCGTCATCTTAGAGCATTTCTGGGTGTCTCCTTCCAGGGCCAGTACAAGTGGGAAATTGCCACGGGAAAGCCAAAAATGCATGCCTCTTGCTGCTCTGCAGTGTGTTTCAGAGCCAAGGCTCCTGGGCAGGTGGAGACGCCATGACTGAGAGACGTTTTCATCCCTCACTGTCCTGTGAGCAGTGTCTCATTGCGTTAGAAGCCAGGAGCATAGGGCTTCAGAAGCCACTGACGAATTCAAAGTCTTGCCTTTCTCTTACGTGGCTTTATAAATGAGTGTGGACTGCAGGCCTGTGTGCCAGGCACCACACAGGGGACGAGGATACAGTGGAGAGCAGACACAGGCCCTGCTCGGGGGAGCTCCCCTCTTGTTCAGGAGGCAGGCACGTAAACAGGCAGCTCCGACATAATGTGATAAGTGTTCTCCCTGCTTGTGGGCCAAGTGTGCTGCTGCCAAGGCGGGTCCTTTGGAAGTGGCTGCCATTGGCCGAGAGTAAGCAGCTCCTCAGTGAAAGACTTCCTTTGTTCTTCTGGGATGGCCAAACATGGCACTTGGCAAATCGTAGATGAGCAATAAGGACTTGTTGATGGATTGATAAAGAGAGTTTTACTATTCCAAAGGACCATTGAAACTGAATACTGAGTAATTTTGGAAAGCAGTGTGGAATAAATGAGTAGGTGAAAATTTCATATTGTCCTACAACATAGAATGCTTTCTAGGTCAAACTGTAATGTTTTTAATTAAAGCGCAAAATTTCTAATATGGACAGTCCCCAAAAATTGTGCTAAAAGTTAATCCCATTACCTACATTTCTACATCTTATTCTTTCATATATTCACTGGGTCCCGTCTCTCTCTATATTCGAGTCTGTTGGAATTGTCTTTCTGAACCACCACCAATCTGATTTTTTGATGCATTTTATTAAAAATTGTCTAGAGTGTAGACTTCTGATCCTGGCCTTTGAAAGCTAACCCCATCTGGCCCGTACTTGCCATCTCTCCCACGATACATGGAGCACTTGTCACTCACAGGCACCCTGGCCTGTCCGCTTCTTCCCTTATGCTTGTGCTATTTCCTACCCCTAGGATGGTCTTACCCTTCCTATCCCCACCTGAACTCCTGCTCATCCTTCACGGGCCAGGTCTAATGTTTCTCTAAAACCTTCTCTGACCTTGCAAACAATGAGCTTCCTCCACACTGCTGTGCACACAGTCAGCACAGCTCTCACCACCTCAGGCTGAAGTTGCTTACCTTGGTGTCCTCCCCGGACTGGAGATCTCTGAAGGGAGAGACCAGCCTTCTGGTGCTCAGCACCCTCAGAGACTAGCATAGAGAATCCCCTCGGTGAGCCCTCACAGTGCCCGGGCCTGTGCACTTCATACCCATTCACTGTCCCCTTCATGTGCTGGGAGAGCCTTCCCTCTCCCTCATCCTCCTCAGTTTCCTCCTCCTCTTCCCCTGGTTTCCTAAAGAAACTTAGCCAAGAAATCAGTATGCTGGATTTCTCCTAAAGCCATTAGTAGCCATGATTAATATTTATGGCTCTTCAGTCTTTTCCTTTCTCAAGCTATAGATGTTAAGGAAGGCAGCATACCAAAGTGATTAAAAAGCAACACAGGGTGAACAAAGGAAGGTGCATGGCTGAGGGTGGCATATTTCCAGAGTAGCCAGAGAGTGCTGGCTAATCAGGCCCCAGTTTTCTGCCCCAGCTTGGTGTTAGCCATAGAGTCCATTGTTACGAAAATCACCTCAGTGCTGTCCTGGTAACTAGACTATCTCAAAGCCTTAGATTACTGGGGGAAGCCCTTACCTCAGAGAGCCTATGATGAGCTTTCCTTCCAGCCAGTGGGCAGGTGCCAAGCCAAGTACTGAGCCTAGAGTCCCCCTCAGCTCATTATCACTATCCCCATCCCCCACCCCACCCCCAGCACCCATAGTGATTCTGCCATGGCTATAACTAATTGCCTGGGACCAGTTACCATCCAAGCCTATTTCTCTAATTAAATTACACACTCTTGAAGTGTTGCTTAACTTGATTAAAGAGAAGAGGTTTTTGTTGGTATTGGCCTACTACATCTTCAGTGCAAATTACTAATTGACATTTTTATTATAGAAAGGAAGTGGAGCAATTCTGAATACTGTGAAAACGAAAGCAAACCCAGCCATGAAGACTGTCTATAAGTTTGTAAGTACTGGTCTTGGTCTCAGGACCCAAACAGATCTGCTCCTTAGCATGATGCAATTCACATATATATCTCTGAGATAGATAGATAATAGATAGATAGATAGATAGATAGATAGATACCAGAGAGAAAGGGATAGGAAGAGAGAAATAGAAATATCAATGTTGAGAGAAACATTGATCGGCTGCCTCCTGCATGCCCCACTCTGGGGATTGAGCCCACAACCCAGGCATGTGCCCTGACCAGTAAACAAACTGTGACCTCCTAGTTCATAGGTCAATGCTCAACCACTGAGCCATGTTGGGCAGCAGGATGCTGGGCAGCAGGATGCAGCTCTGAAATCACCTGATCCTATCTACAGAGGTGACTCTGTAGCTGTGCTGTTCCTGAAGCTCTCAGTGCTTTAAGTATAATTTAATGTTGATATTTTATGAGTAGGCCACAAGTGGCTTCTTTTTTTTTTTTTTTTCAATCCTCACCAGAGGATATTTTTTTTTGTTTTTGTTTTTGAGAGAGAGAGAGAGAGAAACATCAGTTAACCAACTGATCAGTTGCCTCCTGTATGCACCCTGAGCAGGGCCAAGGATTGAATTTGCAACCAAAGTATCTGCCCTTGACCAGAAGTTAAACCTACCATCTTTCGGTCTATGGGCTAACGCTCTAACTACTGAGGCAAACTGGCCATAACCAGACAAGTGATATTTTTAATTTAAAGTGTTATTCCTACAGTTGCCACAAGAGAGAAATGGGAGCTCCTAGTTTTAGCTTTTAAAATGTAGGCTGGGTGGCTAAAATTCTGGCTGCTCCATGCCAGCGTCCCTGAGACCTGGAGGCATGGTCTCTCAGATGTTCTAGCAAACCTTTCCTGTTCGTCCCCATTATTATATCAAAATAAAGCCGCTCCTTTGCAGGTTACTGAAGAGTATTCACGGTGGGTGGGAGACACCCCAAGTTTTTCTCCCAAATTCTTCACCATCTCTCATCACTATCCTAAAGGAAATGCATTGTTTGTGAAACTCGTGCACACAGCAGCGTGGAAGGAGAACACGTCTGTTCACGATGCTGCAGCTTTTACAAGCCTCAAGTATTTGTTTCTCGTGATTTCTCTTGCTTCTGATTTGACTCTGAGCTACTTAACTAGGCTGTTTTCTATTATGTCCATTTTTAATTTTGTTAGTCCTTTCTGTGCTTGCATTGTAGTTATTTTAATGGAGAGGTGGCTGCCAAAAGAGCCACACAGGTCTAAAGTGACAGAAAATAAAAGCCAGGGCGTCTGCCGAAATGAGATGTAAGAAATGGTTCTGTCCCAGTCATGCGTCCGCTCGGGCCATTCAGCCTGTCCAGAAAGCTGGTCCCGAGGCTCTGCCCTGGTGAAATGGAATCTGAATCTTGCAGCCAGAAACACTGCTGCTCAACTCTCACTGGTCGCTGTCACTATGCTGCTGAGATACATAATTATAGAGAGCAGAAGGGGTGGGGGGGAGATATCAGTGCCATCAAAATGCAAAAAATAAAATCTCTGTAGCCTCTTTAAAGGCTTTTTTTTAACCTTTTATTTGTTTTCATAGCCATTATGTTTTCAACTTGATGATCCCATTTTTCCTTTTTTTTTTCTAGTAATCAGAGAAGGTGATTCACAACGGACTGAAATCAAGCATAGTCCCTGCTGGGAACAGAAAGGGAATCTTAACTTAAATTAATTTTTCATGCAGGCAAAAGATCATGCAAAAATGGGAATAAAAGAGGTGAAAAACCGCTTGAAGCAAAAGGTACTTGAAGTTCTTATTCAAAATGTATAAGCACCGTGTATGAAACGCGTGGCCACAAAAAAGTATGATGTGATCAATAGAGGCTGTTTGATACGATGTTGTTAGCACACTTCAAAATGCATTACCAGCTGTCTGGGAGTTCTCACACTGTTATAAATATTCACAGACAAAAACTGTCTTCAAATATCATTAAGACTCTGGCTTAAACCCACAAAGGCAAGCAAGTTCCGAGTTACCATTGTCAGTCTATCCCTTCCTCACCCCGTCGGGCTCGGGGCCCACCCAGATCTGCAGAAATTGGCTCGGTCCCCGCTTTTCGGCACCACTCCCTCCTACAACCGACCTGGGACCGGCTGTAACCCAAACCCGGAAGCATCTTCAGAGAAACATGCCGTGGTTCTGGCACGCACGTGGCCACCGTGCAGACACGGGGCACAGAGGGTGGGCGATGCCCGGGCTCTCCCCACGGTGGTGGTTTTACCCAGAGGAGCCCAGCAGTTTGTGTTTGAGACTTTTGGGGGAGGGGGAGGGCGATCAGGTGGGGCTCTGATGGTCTTTTTGGACTATCAGTAAAATTGTACAAAATCACACAAGCTATATCCTGATTAAGAGTCCTTCCACTTGATTCTCTAGATTGTATAAGGAGGTGAGTGTAACATTCATAATCCCATGATTATGAATGTCATCATCATTGTTATTGCCGCCATCTTCATTAAGCACTGAGGATGGCCCAGGCCAGGAGCTTTCATAGCGAATCCTTAGCACCACCCGGGGGTTTATTCCTATTTTGTGTGTAAGAGGACCGCAGCTCAAAGGTGAAGTCATCCGCCTATGGGTCACACTGTTGGAGCCTCGCTGTGCCAGGGTTAGATTCCAGATCCATCTCATCCGGCATCTCTGCTCTCACCACACAGTATTTCGTGCTGCCTTCCTGAAACAATTGTTTTGTTTGCCAAAAGATGTTTGGGGTCACTCCCATCATTATCCTACACACCCCAAATGTGCCACTCTAATAAGGGCCTTTGTCTATCTCAGCAGTTTTTTAAAAATAAAAGCCGTTTTAATTTTACGAAGTCAGAAAGGACCTCTCATTAACTTGAAATGGTCAAAGGAATTGATTCCTTTCTTTTAATTGCAAAATAATTTGCACTAAGCATTTTAAATTCTTAGTTTCAGCTGACAGTGAATTTTTAGCAGCTAAGATTCAAGTCCAGAAATAAAAATCCTGTCATGTAAATCCAGGTAGACCTTAACCCTGCCAGAGTACACCAGAGACTGGCAGGTCAGATTCTTTACTCGGATATTACTCAAGTACCTGAATATAACTTTTTATCTCCTGTCCCCTCTGCATGTAACTGAATTGTGTTGCAAGTATGAAATGGAGTGGCAGGGCGGGGGGAACTCGCACCAGATTCCCCTCCTAATGACTAAAGCCCAGGCCCTAGCTCTGTTAGAATATTACGGAAAGTAAGCAAAGGAAGGGGTCCCTCCTCTGATGGGCCTCGCTGGTCAGATCTGCACCCCACAGGCCATTGCTTCCCCCCATGTACATGTGAGCATTGAGAAAACCCCCTTCTCATGATCCATAGCATTTCTGCAAATAACTAGTTAAGCTCAGGTTTTGATGCTGCTGTTTAAAGGTTGGCTTAAACCATCTAGATCGCTCTCCTTCCCTGCCACCCCCCTGTCCTTTCTTTCCTTGATGGTATCTGAAGCAGACTTTCCTTCTCCTCTCCCCCCTGCCAGCCTTTTCAAGAATAGCTTCAGGAGGTAGTGCTCTATAGAGTGTCAGTACATTTCAGGTGACACAGATGGTGAAGGCATTTTATAGAAACGTGGTTGTCACCATCGGACTGTTGACAGATCCATTAGTGCACCCTTTTCAATTTTCACTTTCCCCCTTCCGTCTTACAGCTCTCTCCAGACCTGATACTTCGCCACGGTGCTTGGAGAAGCTCTTTTGTCATTGAAACTAGCATTGTTCAGTGCAGACAGGACCTGGTCTTCTGCGGAGCTCTCAGCTTCCTTTCTCGAGCTAATGTCGGATTTGGCTCCCTCTGACCCCCTCGCTGCTGTAGAAAATATTTCTTGTTCCCCTCCCTCACGCCCCCCACCACCCTGAAATGGCAACATATTTATGTGGCTCTCACACACGTCTAATGCAGACACATCAAGTTTGGTTTCCGCTATGAAATGGAGGCAGTTCCCAACAAAGATCCAATTTTCAAATGTACTGGATTGCCACCTGGCCTCCTCCAGCTGCATAGCAATGGTGACCTCGCAGATATAATCAAGAACCCAGCCTTGCCCTCTGTGCTCTCGCCTTGGGTTTGAATTGCAAATAGAAAACGTGGGGCCGACCTGCGGAGAGGTCACCGTGGTATGTGAAGGGTCCATCTCTAATATGACGGAGCAGGGCCCCTTCTCCATCCCTTGTTCATTTGTGCTGTCTATTTTCAAAGCATCTGAAGCAGGAGCTTTCAGGGTATCTGTGTGACCACTGGCAAATAATTGTCATAGATACTGTAGCGTGGCTTTATTCACACCTGCTCTGCTTCAGCCCAACAACAAAAAAAAAAGGAGGATGGATAACATATTTCTCTGGATGAATGGAGCAAGGCAGTCAAGTTCTTCTACAGCTCGGCCTCCTTTGAAGTCTGACTTGCTCAAAATTAGGAAGAAGAGAAATGGCAAAGAAGCTACCCAGGCATTGCTTCCTAAAGGGAGAATAGAACACTTCCCACACCCCACACCAGCATCCTTCCCGACCTGGGTAAGAAGGCCACCTGGTGGGGCTTGTGATTGTCAGCAGATTGCATCCAGTCACAGCATCCTGCAGGCTGGCATCAGAATGCCCTGTTTCTCCTTACCTGCAGGGGCAGTAAGGTCTCCATTTTTTGTTTTGTTTTCTCTCTCTCTCTCTCTCTCTCTCTCTCTCTCTCTCTCTCTCTCTCTCTCTCTCTCTCTCTCTCTCTCTCTCTCTCTCTCTCTCTCTTTTGCCTATTGTGGAATCCCTGAATAACGATCTTTTTTCTTCAGTATCAAAATGATTTCATCAAGTGGGCCCATTTCATGGCCCCTTTTAAAGTTTCTAAATCTTTGATCTTTCTAAATCTTCAAAAGATTCATCAAGCTTGTTAATTTAGTTTCTTTGATTAAAAGGAGCAGACTCACCATTGGGTTAGCAAAGGCTTGAGACTCTGGCTAGTGTATTGAAGGGAGTGAGTAAGCACGCGGCGGATGGCGGGTAGGGGTGGAGGTGCAGGGAGATCAGGTAGATTCTTGTAGGACAGATGTTTTCACACCTTAACACACAACTGTCAGCTCCTGGTCTCCAGACACATTACGCCGCTGCCTCCATCACAGAAATTCCAGCTTTGGCTATTGTTTTGACATCAGTACTCATATTTTAATTTGCATTTGCTGTGGTGTGAAGTAGACTGGGAAAGAAGGGCACCGCCCAAATCCGAAAATAGAGACCAGCAGCAATCTGAGTCAGAGATGGGAAGCCCCCACCTTGGGCTTCTTTAAACCCCCAACCTGTGGCCTGATATTTGGGCTCTCGGAGCAGACAAGCTAGATTCAGTGCTGGTTGTAAAAGATATTAACTGTGTGACCTTGAGTAATTTACCTGACTTTTGTGAAGCTAATTTCTCTCATCTATAAACTTAGAGAAATAGAGATTTTTTTTTTTTAATGGATTATTCTAAGGATTAGAAGAGGTAAGGGATTTTTAACAGCAAAACTTAGTAACCACTCAGTTAACTGGAGTTTCCACCCTCTCCAGTGCTCATGTCCCACATCTGGAGCAGCTCATCTGCCCACACTCCCGGGGGCACATGCCCTGGGGACACGGTTGGCATGGGATCACCTCCCGTTTGGTCATCCACACAGCCACCAGAGCAGTCTTTCTAGAACACAGCTATGACCGAGTCACTCCCCTGGTTAAAACCTTTCATACCGTTCACACCTTTCACACCTCCCACTTCCCTGACCAGGTGGTTCTTGGAATGCTCCAGCTGCCATCCCCCACTCCTTAACGAGCTGTGCTTCTGGCTCCCGTAGGCTTGGAGTGCTCTACTCACATCTCTGCCTCGTGAAGTCATAGCCTGAGCTTTCTCCATGTCCAACCCATACCGGGCTCCTACCCAAGGCCACAGAGAGCCCCTTCCTCCTCTAGGCTCCTGCCTCCTGCCTTCTCATGGGCACTCTGTCCGAGGACTTTATCAAATGCTGACCATGCATCTGGGAGAGGTGCCACCTGCGGTGGCCTCTGACCTGCAGCTCTGTCTACTGTTTTCTGTGCTACCCTGCAGGAGGGAGATTTGTCCCTCCTGTCCGCTACTTGGTTTTTCTTCTTTGAAATGATGTTTTGATGGTCAGCATTTTTTCCATTTATAAACAGAAAACATGTTGATAGAAGAAAATTCAACAAATCAGACAAACAAGAAGAAAATTATCTCACTTTTTAACCTGCATTTTCACTTAACTATGCTAAACATAGTTAAACATAGTATATGCTAAACATTTCCCAGACCACTTAGTGTTTCTTCCACATTTCATTGTTTTCAATAGGTACATAAAATTTTGTCTGAGGGACATATATACATTATTTAATCGATCTCATTGTTAGATACTTAAGTTAGTTCCAATTTTGTCTAAGCAAATATCTTCTTAGAGAAAACCTTGCAGGAATTCTTAATTATTTCATCAGGATAAATATCTAGATATTAAATTAATGGGTCAAGGGACATGCACCTCTTTTAGGGTTTTGATATAAATTGTATTCCCATCAGAAGGATCTGAGACTGCCTTTTCCCCATACCCTCTGCTGGCAGCTTCTCAGTTAGCTCTTAGACCACAATGTCTTTAACCCTGGGTAGCAAGACTTGCTGTTATCTGATCCCCACTGTGTGTAAGACCTCTGCTAGCAATAGAGGATGTGAGCTGGCCCTATTTCTTTCTTGCTAGGGCTCCTCCCACACTCTGCTGTCCAGGGAAGAATCCGTTGTCCTTCCCCAGATCGAAGATATAGTGCCAACATTAATAAATTAGTGGGGCAAGCCTTGGCACTTGCAAGAAGTCTTTTGCCCTTTCAGGTCCTCTAAATAAAATTAATATGCTGCACTACTTTTTGATGCACAAGCACCTTTGTGTATTGGACACATTTGCCTTCCAAATGTGCAACTCAACATTACAAGGATTTATTAGAGAACATGTACTGTATTCCCGGCTCTGGGGCAGAGAACCCAAACCCAAAGGAGCTCACAGTCTATGGGGATAAGATAAAAGTGGCCAGATATCATAGGCATGGCAGCACAAGGTCATGTAAGAAAAGGGATTTCTGAGAAGGCGATCACAGCTGATGATTAGCTGAGCACCTCCTGAACCCAGGAGACCTTCATTTGCTATTGTTAAGGTTGATAGGGTTTAGGTGCCAGAAATCAGATAGCTCTGGGTTCTTCCTCTTTCTAGCTGTGCGGCCTTCAGGAAGTTGCCCTCTCTGAGCCCTGTTTCCTCACTTATAAAAGCGTGATCCTCCTATTACCTCTTGGTAGTTGTGGAAACTGAAGTATGATAGTGAGGCGCCGGCCAGTAGGAGGCGCTCACCACAGGGCAGCTCTTTTTAGACGGTGTGCTTCCCTTTTGCAGGAATAAGGATTTAACTTTCAATTTGCACAGTATTGTAACCTTTTTTAAAGCTTCCTCACATCTCATCTCATTTAGCCCATTGTCCCAGTGGCTTTGAAGTTTGCCAAGCAGGAGGTGGTCTCCCCATTGTAAAAATATAGAAGTAGGTTGCAGAGAAATTGAGTGAATTGGGAAGATCAGACAGCAACTAGGTGGTGAAAAACAAAACCAGAAGACAATGTTTTTACCTATAAGCTTAAACTAAGACATTTTTCCAAAAACTACCACATGCGTTTTTTAAATAGCTATCTATCATCTTACAGTTTTCATCAGTATTTTCTTACCATGGTACCTAACTGCTCTATTTCTTTTTCTTTTCATTTTTTTTTTTTCAGCCAATCGCTCACACACAATTTTTCCTAAACAAAAAGTGATTTTTTTTTTTTTAATTTTTTTACTGTTTGGCTTTACTCAACCTCTTGTATCTGTCCTCTGTGTAACCCCACTGGATCCAAAATCCCCCTTTTGCCCTTTGTTACTTTCTGGCACTTGTTACTTTCTCCCCCTCTTTGTTCCACTTGACCTGAGCACCTTGGGGCAGCCCTTTCCAAAGGAGCCATTTCTAATTGGCTGTCGGCAACCTCTGTCATCACTGAGCCTCAGCCAGGCTAAGACTTGTGGGCCGCTTGATGTGAGCCTTGCCTGCCAAACCAAGAGGTACTCACCCCCTGTGATGTTATCCAGAAGTATAGAGGCTGCAGCTGGATGTTTGGGGTTGACTTCACACACACACACACACACACACACACACACACACACACACACACTCCTATAGCTTATTGAGGACCATATACAGTCCATTATTAATGCTCTAGGCACTTTTATGTTACATTACCCTTTACTCCTCATCTGCTGCCATATCCCCATCTTACAGATAAGGAGACTGACGTTCACAGATGTTACACATGTTTCATCCTTAATGTATTGTAATTCAGTAAGGGACCACGTTCCTCTATGTGTCCCATTCTCTATCTGGCTAAGAAGTTAAGAGCAACCAATGATTACATGCAAATTTTAATGAGTGCTAAAGGTGTGTGCTTTGTTAACCAAAATGTGTATTTGTTTTTGGTAATTAAAAGAATTGGAAATTGTATTTATTATTTCTACAAGTTATTTTTACTTGGCAAAAAATAACAATTTAAATGTATCTGTTTGTACATTTATTCTCTGCCTTGCTTTATTGAAGATGAGCAATGTCGTAACTTGAATAAATCATGTGGTCCCCAGCGCACAAATGGGCACCACCCACACATCCCCAAGAGCCCTGTATGCCGTCAGCTTCCAGCAGCAGCCAAAGGAGCCTCACATTTGGGGTTTTCCTTCCCTTAATTTGACTTTACTCATCAGAAGCACCAATTAAATGTAAATTTAATTTAAAAACACTACTTTGGCAACCTAAATTTTCTCCAAGTCATAGAATCCTAACTCAGACTTCCATCTCTTCATGCTCTGCCAGAAACATTAGGGCTAAGAAAGAGGGAGCATGAACACACCGTTTTCAAAAACAATAACATCAGCAGTAAACAAATGTGGAAAAAATGTCCACACTCTCAAATAATCAAAGTAATGCAAATTAAAACAACAATGAGGTCTCGTTTTTTTCACCTCTTAAATTAGCGATACATATTTAAAATGATAAGGCTAACGAGTACTGTGAAACTCTCAACACTGCCATTGCTGGTAGTGGTGTAAATTGGAAAGCAAATTGTTAGAATGAATAAAAAGCCTTAAAAATGGTTTTATTTTTTTGACCTAGTAATGTCATTCCTAAAGATTTATGTTAAATAATCCAAAAGAAAGAAAAACTGCAATGTTTATCACTGTGGTGTTTAGGGGGAAAGTAAGAACTTAAATGTTTGATGTAGTAGAATGGTTCATTAAATTACAGTATGGTCATCCAATGAAATATCATGCATCAATTAAAATTATCTTTATAATGACTATGCAACACCATGGAAATGCTTATGATATAAGAGGAAAGATAGAACGTGAAGTTATGCACAAGCTGTGATTGCAAGTAATTTTTAAATGTCTGCATGAGGGCAACGTTAATATGTAAGAATGAAAATAGCCCTGGAAAGTAGTATAATAGAATGAAAGGTTTTCTCCCCGCAGTATTGTGAATTATTATGTTGTCTTTGTAATTTAATGTCCATGGTTTGGGTTTCTCTAGCCCTTAAAATTCAAACAGCCAAGTTAGCCTTCTAGTTCCCTCATCTCTAGCAGGAGGATGGGCTCTAAGTGACCCAGAGGGAGTCCCGGGGCCTGGCTCTGAGCCTTGAGGTTGGAGGGAGCACCTGTGCTCAGGACAGGTGCCAAGACCCTGTCACCAATTCCTGGCTGGCTTCTCCCTACAGGACATCACCGAGAATGGCTGTGCCCCCACTTTGGAAGAGCAGCTACCAAAGACTGTGCCATCCCCACTCGGGGAGGCCAAGGACCCCAAGCTCCGAGAAGACCGAAGGCCGATCACAGTCCACTTCGGACAGGTATGTACCCTGGCCCTCTGATTGGTGTGAGTTTGGTTTGCTTTGCTTTTTAGCAGAAGCTGTGGCGCATACAGCCGGTGCTTTTGCGTTTCTGCTCTCTTTGGTAAAACAGTCGCATGGAGTTTGCACATCTTCCAGTGTTTATTTGGGACAAACATGTTTTGAAGGGAGATTTTCAAAAACTTTGAGGAGACAGCATGGCTCTGGTCATAAACTCGCTGAACTCTGGAATGAAGTCATTAAATGCAGCTGCCGCCTCCCACCCCTAGGCACTCCTATTAAGGTGCCTCTGTCAGCTAAGCATCTCATTAGAACACTTTAGCATCCCAGGCCCTTCTTTGCACCTTCAAATGAAAGGCAACAAGCGAAGTCTTAAAAAAAAATCAATTAGGAGTTCTTTATTAATGTACTTCCTGAAAATCAATATCGGGAGTCCTCCTTCTCACAGCTAACGCCACGCTGCTGTTCCAGGGGCCGGATTCTGTAGCCAACCATTTCAACGGCCTGAGTGAGCATTTGGAAATTTGTGTGATTTTTTTTCTTTCTCTTAAGTAAAACATTAAGGAACTGGAATTTGTTTTATCCATATCTTATCGGTGCTTATATGTTTGGTTGAAAAATATTACATACCCTCTACTACTCTTGATTAGCAAAAGTCATAATTTTTTGGTTTCTAAGAAACGGCTCCATTAACAAGATATGACTGTAATAAGAATCTGCAAGGTTATTTAATTTTAAATCACCCGATTCTTTAGCCATTGATTAGATGAGGCATAATTTAAATAGTCTCTATGGTTTTATTTTTAATATGATTGCTGTTTTATCACATAAAGGAGCTAGAAGCACACATTTAAAATGTTTGTTTTTGACATTTATCAAGTAGCTACTGTGTACCTGGCATAGAGCTATTTAGAAATGAAGGGAACTAATTGTTACTGTGGGTTATGATTGTACGGTGTGAGTTTGTTAAAACATAAGAATCTTCCTCTGTGATCAGTGTTTTTAGATAATATGTTCATATATCTTCAACTTGGAGAGGTTCGCCACTCCTTTTCTGATTTTACACTTAAAAGGGATATTATAAAAATTTAAATATAGCCTAACAAAGAAGTGTCCATGGGGCAGGGCGCATTTGCTTAATAATTCTCTCCAAATTTCGTTGATGTGTGCACCCCTGAAGAGCCGCCTCATCTCAGCTCAGGCCCCCGTTCCCTGGCTGGGTTTGCTGAAAGCGGCCGTTGTCGCCAGCGTGGCATTCCAGAGCCAGCTTCCTGCCTTCCTTTGTCCTCATTCCCGCACACGCGAACCTTCCCATGAAAAGAGCCCCTTGCTGGAGTTTGGAGCCCATTACAGAGAAAGAGGGGGCGGGGGAGAGGGATTTCATGGTGTTAAACATTCCATTTTCGAAACACAAAAAGGAGGCCCTGTTTGAAATGGAGAGAGACCTTCTTTCCATTTCAGGAAGAAGGAGAGATGCTTTCATGTCATTCCCAGCTAAATGCAGAATAAGAGCGTGTGTATGTGTGCGGGTGGGGGACAAACAATTAAAAAAGCCACCCCAAACTCTGTTGAAATAAGAGCTGTCTGTGCCTTCACAGGTCTGTAAACTGGAGAGGATGAAAGTGGCTTTTTTCCCCGTTTGTCACCTCCCTCACGTGGCTGCCAGCATTATGCAAGTGTACAGGAAGGCAGGGGTTTTTTTAATGCATGCATGCGGATTAAGGTCAAGCCCCGAGTATCAGCCATGCAGCGGGCTCTCCCTTACAGCTGCAGCCACAGAGCCTACCCGCAGCCGCGAGATGCCTTAATTGAGACGTGCTGTCAAAGTGACAAACACATTTGCATACAGTCTACACTCTATTTATTTTCTCTGGAAAGGTCCACAGTCTGCTGTTGGTTGAACATTCTTAATCAGTTTGCTGTAAGTGAACTGCCTGCTAGCTCACTTGTGCCGCCACTGCTTCTTCATTAGCTGACAGATTAGCTGCTGGGGGGATGGGCCGGGAAACGCAGACCCTTCCTTTTAACTCTTTCCAGCTTTGCCCCCAGCAAGGCTGTGTTAGGTCCTTCCCCTGGTTTGATGGGCCGTTGACCGGAACAGACAGCGTTTCAAGAGCACCTGCTACTGGCAGGCATGAATTTTAGGGGCTTGACATTCTTCTCAAAGAACCATCTTTTGGGGCTCCACTTCAGAAATTTTGCCACACTTTCCTACCATCTGCATTACTTTTTTATTTGCTATTTTTCTTTAAACAGACTCAGACCCAACATCTATACTTTAGCTTCCTCTGTGATGATGTTGGTAAAATCATAAGGTTGACATACTAGTCCAAGTTTTTTCTAAGGCATATAAAAAAATTTTTCTAAGTGTCTATCCATGTATCACCTAAACACTCAGCCCCAACAGGATACATTCTCCTCTGGAATCATGTGTCCCCTCTGCTGTAGTCTTTCGAGGAGGGGATCATTACCGGCATTTTATGGTCACAAAACTAGAGTTCAGGGATGGTCCGAAAGGAACTGCCAGGGCCACATCACTAGTTCAGTGGTACAGGACAGTCCCCTGGCAGCACCCTTGCCAGGCAGAGGCTTCAGGGAGAACCTGGGTCTCTGCCGAGCCCCGAAACTTGGCACATACTCTGCGTCTCACACAGCCTTGTAATTATTGCTTTAGTGCTTGTCATCTCCCGTAAGAATATGAACCTCTGGGAAGTTCACTGCAGAGCTTGGCAATCAGTAAACATCTTAGGATTTTATTATTGATGTGGATTTTTATTTATTTATTTTAAATATATTTTATTGATTTTCTACAGAGAGGAGGAGAAAGGGACAGAGAATTAGAAACGTTGATGAGAGAGAAACATCGACCAGCTGCCTCTTGCACACCCCCCACTGGGGACGTGCCCACAACCAAGGTACATGCCCTTGACCAGAGTCGAACCTGGGACCTTTCAGTCCGCAGACTGATGCTCTATCCACTGAGCCAAACCAGTTTCGGCTGATGTGGATTTTTAGATTGATTAATAAGTGATTGATTATAAGGTACTTGCTATGTGTCCAGCAAGGTCTTTTTTGTTTGGTTTCAGTTGCTATGCTCATAATTCTGTTCATTTGAAAGAGAATGAATATTCCATTAGTAGCCAAAATCTACTTCAAAATCTCTTTCAATAAATAAAGATCCTGCAAGTGGGAACATCTTTGTATTATAGGAATTTAGAGCCTCTCTCATTTTACATTGTGTTTTCATGAGCTCCTACAGTCTAAACATATAGACCCCAGGAGAGGAGGGGTGGGAAAGGGGGCAGGGAGAATTGGGGCACCCCTATGCTCCCAGGATGGGGCATCCAGGGAGGATGGGAGCCAGGAAGAGAGCAGTTGTGGGGAGGAAAGGCCTGACATCCTTCGTTTATATCAAATAAAGCAAGGCTTTTAGCTGTAAAAGAGACTAAGCTACATAACCAATGCAGAGAATGAACTTAATTTGGATTTTTTAAGACATTCTTGGGGAACTTGGAAGATGTGAAGATGGACTAGGATGTTAGATGATATGATAGAAGTATTGTTAACATTATGGTTGTTAGGGATTTATCTTCATTCCTAAGAGGTACCCACTGAAGTGTTTTAGGGGTGAAGTATCATGGAGTCTGACACTTGCTTTCAAATGGTGTGGCCAAAAAATTACACACTCGCCAGCACACACTCACAGATGCACACAGACCATTCACAGAGAGAAAGCAAGCATAGTCCCCAGGCCCCCAAATATTTAACTGCTGAGAGGCAAGTTGGTGGAGGCAGTGGGTAGAGAGGATGAAGCACAGATTCTAGAATTTAGTATTGGGGTGTCAGGAGCCAGCCCAGCTCAAAGACCACTAGCAGGACCTATACTTGGAATTTGTCAGTTAGGGTACTTTGGATTGCAAAGACATAAAACCCAGAAGAAAAAATGTTGGCTTCATGTATGGCTTGGTCCAGGTATCAAGTCATGTCAGTCAGGCCCAGATTTTTGCTACATTTCTTGGCTTTCCCTCCTCTACCGGTGCCATTCTCTCCCTTCTGGTGGCAGTGGCCTCAGACTACATCCCTTCAGGTGTGAGACCAGCAGAAAAGTGAGTGTCATTTGCTGGTGATTTCCACACAAAGCATGGGATTCACTCATTAAACCAACTTTGAACAATTATAAGCATAAATGAACAATTATAAGCATATCCCCACCTAAGAACCAAACATTGTGCCAAGTGTCTGTGTACCATGGGCAGGCCCTGCCTGAGACACATACCTAAGAGTTGAAGGAGGGGTGGCTCCTGGAAAGGAAATCAGGAGGCTGTTATGAAAAGAAGGGTGAACAGTCAGATTGAAAACTGTGCACAGAGGCCAGAGAGGAGATGCTGGCCCAGCTTTTGTTCTCTTGTCTGATAGCAGACAGGTTAACACCCAGAGCTGTGGGAATAGTGAAGCCAAGAGAGTAGGCGTGGCTGAGAATCGAGGTCAGAGGTCACCCTGGGCACCAGATAGAGAGGAGACTGAAGAACAGTGGCAGGTCAGGACATGGCAGGAAGGTCAGGGCCAGAGGTAGCAGGTTTTGGCAATGGGCACAGTTGCCTATGATCACTTCTGGGCATGGATTGTGACAGGTCAGCCGAGATCCAGGGCCCAGGGATGGAGAAAGAGCCAAGACCCTTACTCACTCATTCAGCAATCACTGGTACCTACTCAGTGCCATGCCTGTGAAAACAGGGGTGACAATAGCATGGTCCCTGACTTCAGGGGGCCCATTAATTCTGTGAATGGAATCTTTCTTGTGGTTCTGAAACCAGTGGATCTGTGCGGTGTGATCCTGCCACAGGGCATCTCAGAGTTCTCTTTTCCTTTGTTATTCTAGGTGTACCGGATAATGTGGATTTTGTAATCAAAACAAGATAATTTTGCCCTAGCTGGCTTGGCTCAGTGGGTAGAGCGTCAGCTTGCAGACTGAAGGGTCCCAGGTTCAATTCTGGCCAAGG